GCCATTGAAAGGCACATCCTGTGTATTTGCCCTGAACCATCTCAGTGTAAAAACTCATCACTCTGTATTTTAATTGTCTCCTCAATTGCCTGGTTACCCTACTAGGTTGGAAGGCATGGACTTGGGAACAGGGACTGTCCTGACCATTACAGGAACAATGACTTACCATACAGTAGGTTCTCAACAGTGACATTTATCTTGTAAATCAATACCTCCCATAGGAGCATTGAAGAAAGTAAAATCTGGTAATATTTAAATGTGTTACAGAAACCATGTCTCTCTGTACCATGAGATCCTCTTTTCATGGTGCCATCTTCCTTTTCAGGCACGTGGATGGGGTTGGCACTTGAGGGGTTGGAATCTAGTAGTGATTCTCAGCAAATTCAACCCCACCAGTAGTCATGGTCTTCTGAGCAGCATCAAGGAATTAGTCTTTGGGTAATTGAAGGTGTAAGAGTAGGAATACTCAGGAAAAGAAGAGATTGATTACTCAGGATGTGAATTTTCAAGCGACTGTGACACAAAATGTGCTGTTTGATTGATTAATATCATAGTTATGAAAAGCTGCCTGGCCTGTTAGTCTGTCACATATGAGGCAAGTCTTGGTCTAACATTGGTAGTTATTATTGCAATATCTTTTCCCTTTAGAATTTATGCTCAAGGGGGCTGGAAAGAATAAGCACCTGCCTGGCAAGCACAAGGTCCCAAGTTTGATACATAGTACAAAAAAAAAAAAAAAACCAATGAATTTATGCTCAAAAACTGACTTTATGCTTAGATAGAAGAAGGCTTAGAACAATTTTATACAAAAAGAAAAGAGTTACTGAGTTGAGAAGGACAGGAGAGAGAGTGGGGGAAAGAGATTTATCTATGTATGTACGCAGGACAGTTTGTACAACTGTACTCTGCATTTCTGTTGGTCTATCATCCCCTTTTTTAATGGTTTGTATTTTTTTCTTAATTCTTATACATTTCTTTCTATTTTTCTTTCTTATTCCAATTTTACATGCATAAATCTTGTAATATGAATAACTGGTTGGAAGACAACACTATGTATTACAACTAATACTGTGAAATGCATGTTACTTTGTTAAATGAAATTCTGTATCACTTGCAATTATTTTCTGCTTTAATTCTAATCTGTATCTATTTAAAAAAAATAATTTTATACAAGAGAAAGAGAGGAAGAAATGAGAAAAGGAAAAAATAGTACGGCAGAAGGTAGTGATGAAAAGAAAAAAAGAAAGGAGAGATAAAGGAAGGATAAGAATAAGGAGGAGAAAAAAGTTCTCTCAGATGCTTAGGGTGACCTTGGCCATAGTTAGATTTTTTTTTTTTTTTTTTTGCAGGATTCTCCTAGTGACTGCTGACAGTGAGATTGGCTATATTTGGCCAAAATGATACAACTTTAAAATAAAATGCCAAACAACAAGCTCAGAGAGTAAGGAGAGGGGGAGAGCCTTCAGAGCAATATATAAAACTATGGTTTTTAGAAAATAAGGAAAGATCAAGTCTGGAAGATCAGAGCACTGGACAAAGGAGAGGGTGACATTGATGCTGATGGAGAAGAAGGGATCTGGCAGTGGTAACACCAATGTCCAGAGATCCCTGGGCCAGGTAAGCTCATTTGCCTCTTACACCTACTCCAGCAGTAGGTTCTATGATTGTCATTCCCACTTTACAGTCGAGGAACAGAGAGATAAGTTCGAAGTACCCAATCACATAGTCAACCTAAGGTGGAACCAACCTATTCACCTAGAAAGTTGGGCTGTAACATTCTCACTTATGGTATTAACTTCCTAGAGTCACTAAAAAAAATAAATAAACAAACACAGAGGGACTTAAAGCAGCAAAATTTATTCCTTTATAGTTCTTGATACCAAAGCTCTGAAAGTGCTATCTCTGGGGTAAAATCAAGGAATTGGTATTGATATGCTCTCTCCAGAGTATCTAAGGGAAGAATCTGCTTCTTGCCATTTCTGCCACTTCCGGTGGCTGCCAACTGCCAGCTTTCCTTGGCTTGGGCTTAGATCACATTCACCTTCAAGGCCAGCACATTTCTTAAGAACCTACAATAAGGTTCGCGGGACTCTGCTTCTCTCTATCTATCTCTGTCTCTGTCTGTCTGTCTGTCTGTCTGTCTGTCTCTCTCTCTCTCTCTCTCTCTCTCTCTCTCTCTCTCTCTCTCTCTCTCTCTCCTCCCTCCCTGGCTGTCAGCATGCCCTTTTGCCACGATGTTTCTATCCTAGAGTCAGTCAGACATGATCTGAAGTCTCTGAAACCATGAGCCAGAATAACCATATCATTTAAAATATGCATGTCCGATATTTTGTCCTAGTAGCAAAAGACTGACAAACACAGACATCAAAATATGAATCTGGAAATGTCAAGCCACTTGATGTTCCTGCTCTTGTGCCTTTAGGCAAAGCCAAATAAAGACTAAGTCAGAGATGCCTTTCTTAAAATGGCAATCATATCTAATATAATTCTAGGGCTGGGGAGATAGATCAGCAGTCTAAATGCCTGCCTGGCAAGCACAAGGACCGGGTTTCGATCCCTGGTACCCTTTGCCATGCTGGCCTCGGAACCCCGGGCACACTATGTGGCCACTGAAACCGGGTGTAATCCCAGCACTGGGGAGACTGAGACAGGAGGATCACTATGAGGCTGAATAGCATAGTGAGACCCTATATCCAATAAATAAATATCTTAAAATAATTCTGACTTTCATAACAATAAAATGGAGTAATTATACTATATTTAATAATTAGATACAAAATTAACATTAAAAATGAAACTACTCTGTCCAGTAAGAGAAATTGAATACATTTATTCACAAATGAGCCATGCATGAAATCACTAAAGATAGTGCACAAATATTCACAGAATGTGTGTGTGTGTGTGTGTACATGTGTGTGTGTAGCATAGAGACTATACTATACTGAAATGTATACAAGTTTTCTTGTACACACAGTATGGTTTAAGAGAACAGTACTATATGCATCAGTGAAATCCAAGACATATTATCTTAGATCGAAAGTCAAGACCAGGTAGTTTATGATTACATTAGATCATTGAAATGTATAGATCTCTTAGTCACTACTTTGTTGTGATTTATGAAAATGAGCATAAGTGCATATATTAGTTATGACTGACTTGAAATAAAAATGTGTTCCATTTATTAAAATCCTAGTGATAAGCACTCCTGGAAACAGCCATATTAACCTTTTAATGGAAGATTCCAGTTCTAGGAGATCCTTCCCTTCTCCCCAAAAAATTAAATCTGAACTATTTCACATACAATAAGAATTCAAGGACAATAAATTAAATCATTTGCCACCGTGTGCCATACACACAGAGTGTTTCTTATCCCATAACCCAGTGAGTCTGTAATACATAAGGTGCTATGCTCACTCTCTACTACCACCATTATGAGATTACACTAAATTTTCATTAGTGAAAGCAACATCACTTATTATTTTATGTGACTTTTTTGCATAGAACAAGAGAAAAACAAAATTCAACAGTTTTGACAGTCTTTCTTAGGAAACTGAGTCACAAGACAATTTTTACACTCAAGACTTACAAACAAGACTCTGAAATACCAAGAGACTGGGTGGTTGGCATAGAAATTCTGATTTCAAAAAGTCTTGTCCTGGCACTAGAGCATACAAAAATGTGTCTTGAAAAGTTGCTAAAAACATAATAATATAAACAAATATCTTTCCAGCTATACCATTTCACATGACACATTAGGGCACTTTTTACAAAAGATCATACCAATCATGATTTTGTCTCTCAGGGCCAATTACATTTTAGTCTTGGAAAATAAGAAGAAAAAAAGAAATCAGCAAAGCCAGAAAATGAATGAATAGACCAGCTGAGCCACAGAGGATGCTGAGGGCCAGCCAGATAGCTCAGCAGACTAAAGAACTTGCTTAGGCAGAGTGCAACGGCCCGGGTTCCATCCCCAGCATGCTATGCTGGCCCCACCCCCAGGGTGCACTGAGACAGTGACTGAGACTGGGCGTGGTGGCACGTGCCTGTAATCCCAGCACCTGGGAAGCTGAAAACAGGAAAATCACTACGAGTCCAATCTGCGTAGTAAGATCCTGTAGACCCTATAGACCCTGTACTAAATACAATTTTTTAAAAAAGGATGCTGAGAAATAGACCTCACATTTATGGAAAATGTTATTGATTACAGAGACGGCTCCATAGACCAGAGAAAAAGGATGGAGTGTTTAATGAATGGCACTGGCTCAACTGTTTATACACATAGGGAAAAAATAGCTTGAATCCCTATCTTATACCATATACAAAGACCAATTCCAAGAAGAGTAACAATTTTACCATAAAAGGCACAGCTTCAAAGTTTTTTTAAGTCCTACATAAGAAAATATTTTTATGGCATTAGGTTTCTTTGTAGGAAAGGATTTTTTTTAACAAGATAGTGAAAACACAAACCAGACAGGCATTGTGGCAAATACCTACAATTTTAAGTACTTGAGGGACTGAGGCAGGAGGGTCATTACAAGCTACAGGACAGGCTGGGCTACAAAGAGAGTTCAAGCTCAGCTTGAACTACATAGTGAAATCTTATCTGAAAAGGGCAAAACAAAATGATAAAGACCCAAGCCAGAAAACAAAACATTGATATATAAAAATGAATAAGATAGACTGGGCATGGTGGCATGCACCTTTAATCCCAGTGCTTAGGAGGCTAAAAACAGAAGGATAACTACAAGTCCGATCTCAGTTCTGAATCCCTGTTGACCCTGTACTAAATACATTTTTTTAAAAAAGGAAGAAAAAAAATGAATAAAATGAATGACACCATAAAGAAAATGAAATCAAACAATTTACTAAATAGAAAGACAGGGCTAGGGAGATAGCCCAGGGGCATAAACACCTGCCTGGCAAGTAAAAGGTCTGGAGTTTGATCCCTGATACCACAAAAATAAATAGACCGACTGACAAAAGGGACTGGAGGCAGCAAGATGGTGCACACTCAGGGCACCAGAAGGAAAGTCTGTTACTACTACGACCAGGATGTTGGAAATTACAATTATGGACAAGGCCATCCCATGAAGCCTCATGGAATCCGCATGACTCACAATCTGCTGCTCAGCTATAGCCTCGACCAAAAGATGGAAATCTATCGCCCTCACAAGACCAGTGCTGAGGAGATGACTAAGTACCACAGCAATGACTACATTAAGTTCTTGTGCTCCATCCGTCCAGATAACATGCCTAAGTACAGCAAGCAGATGCAGAGATTCAGTGTTGGTGAGGACTGTCCAGTATTTGATGGCCTGTTTGAGTTCTGTCAGCTGTCCACTGGTGGCGCAGTAGCAAGTGCTGTGAAACTTAATAAGCAGCAGACAGACATCGCTGTGAGTTGGGCTGGGAACCTGCACCATGCGAAGAAGTCCGAGGCATCTGGCTTCTGTTATGGCAATGATATCCTCTTAGTCATCCTGGAACTGCTAAAGTGTCACCAGAGAGTGCTGTATATTGACATTGATATTCAAATTGGTGATGGCATAGAAGAAGCTTTCTATACCACAGACCAGGTCATGACTGTGTCCTTTCATAAATATGGAGAGTACTTCCAAGGAACTGGGGACCTACGGGATATTGGGGCTGGCAAAGGCAGGTATTATGCTGTTAACTACCCACTCCGAGATGGGATTGATGATGAGTACTATGACGCCATTTTCAAGCCAGTCATGTCCAAAGTAATGGAGATGTTCCAGCCTAGTGCAGTGGTCTTACAGTGTGGCTTGGACTCCCTCTCTGGGAATTGGCTGGATTGCTTCAATCTAACCATCAAAGGGCATGCTAAGTGTGTGGAGCTTGTCAAAAGCTTTAACCTGCCTATGCTGATGCTGGGAGGAGGTGGTTACACCACTTGTAATGTTGCCCGGTGCTGGACATATGAAACAGCTGTGGCCCTAGACACCGAGATCCCTAATGAACTCCCATATAACAACTACTTCAAATACTTTGGACCAGATTTCAAGCTTCTCATTAGTCCTTCCAATATGACTAACCAGAACACTAATGAGTACATAGAGGGGCCGAAAAGATAGCTCAGTGGAATAAGTGCTTGCCCAGCAAGTGAAAGGTCCTGAGTTTGATCCCTGGTACCACCAAAAAAAAAAAGAGTACCTGGAGAAGATCAAACAGTGGTTCTTTGAGAACCTGAGAATGCTGCCCCATGCACCTGGGACCCAAATGCAGGTAATTCCTGAGGATGCCATTCCCAAGGAGAGTGGTGATGAGGATGAAGAAGACCCTGACAAGCGTATCTCAATCTGTCCCTCTGACAAACACATTGCCTGTGAGGAAGAGTTCTCTGACTCAGATGAGGAGGGTGAAGGTGGCCGCAAGAACTCTTCCAACTTCAAGAAAGTCAAAAGAATCAAAACACAAGATGAGAAAGAGAAAGAACCAGAAGAGAAGAAAGAGAGGAGGAGAAGCTAGAAGCCAAAGGGGTCAAAGAGGAGGTCAAGTTGGCCCAGGCAGCCCTTTCCAGCTCAGGCTTCTTGCCGTGTTCCCTACTTTTTTTCCCTCAAACCCCTCAGATTTTATATTTTCTATTTCTCTCTATATTTTTTATTAAATATAAATGTCCCCGGGGAATAGAGAAGAGCCGGGGTCCTTGAGTGCAGGGGGGCTATGCTGGGGGAACTTTTCTAGCAGCAATCAGGCTCCCCACCCCTCCCCAAGTCTTAGTTTTAAGTCATGAAGGGTACAAATCTGGACGGAAGTGATGCAGCCGTAACCTGTGTAGCCAAGGACCTGCGTAGCGTTAAGTGTTCTGGAAGGGGTGGCTGCATCTTCAGGGCTCCCTGTTCTTTGGGTTCCTACAGTAACATCTGCCGTGTTTAGATTGGTTCCTTTCTCACACCTTCACACTGGCCCCAGATGAGCTAAGCAGCCCACACTGCCCTGTCTTCCCCAGTTTTGCAGTAGAGGTTGGTAGTCTAGCTTCCTTTTTTTGAGATACTTTCATTTCTTGTGAGACTCTTTGTAATCAAATGGTACATTTTGATAAAAATAAATAAGTAAATAAACATAAGTAGAAAATGGGCAATAGATAAGAACAGACATCTTTCTGAAAAGGTGACCACCATTCATACAAGATTCTCAACCCACTTCTAATCAAGGAAATATAAACTTAAAACACATTGAGGGGGCTGGCCAGACAGCTCAGTGGACTAAAGCACCTGCTTAGTCAGAGCGCAGTGGCCAGGGTTTGATCCCAGTGCCTGCCATGCTGGCCCCGCTCCTGGGACGTGCTGAGACGGCTGATTGAGACTGGGTGTGGTGGGGCACACCTGCAATCCCAGTACTTGGAAGGCTGTTTACAGGCCACAAGTCATGAGACCCTATAGACCCTGTACTAAAATATATTTAGAAAAAACATTGAGGTACAATTTTAGATCACTGGATAGGCAAAAATTCTGAAGTCTGATGGATCCCAGTGCTTGACAGAAAAGCAACACTGAACCATACTTCTAGTGGGGATATAAATTAGCCATACCATCCTAGAATATATTTGTCACCATCAAGCAAAGTTGAAAACATTCATGCTCTATATGCCAGAACATTTTCATGTTAGACATATCCTAAAGATATGCAAAGAAGAGGAGGAGAAAAAATGCTTACACATCTGCAAAAATGTATCTTGTGGTAATTTTGAGAATAGCCAAAAGTAGAAGCAACACAATTTCTCCCTCAGTAGGAAAAATAAATTGGGAGATATTCATTTAATGAAATGTTTCTAATAGTAAAGAGGAACAAAATATAGCTAAGTACATCATCATGGATAAATCTTAAAAGAACAAATTTGGTCTTTCCATGCTCCCCAGCAGGGTGCATATGGCATTGTTCCTGATTCCCATCATAACTTAAAGGGAAACTTCACAATGTCCGGAGCCCTTGATGTCCTGCAAATGAAGGAGGAAGACATCCTCAAATTCCTTGCTGCAGGAACCCACTTAGGTGGCACCAACCTGGATTTCCAGATGGAGCAGTATATCTATAAAAGGAAAAGTGATGGAATCTACATCATAAATCTGAAGTGGACTTGGGAGAAGCTCCTCCTGGCAGCTCGAGCCATAGTGGCCATTGAAAACCCTGATGATGTCAGCGTTATATCCTCCAGGAGCACCGGCCAGCGGGCTGTGCTGAAGTTTGCTGCTGCCACTGGAGCTACTCCTATCGCTGGCCTCTTCACTCCTGGAACCTTCACTAACTAGATCCAGGCAGCCTTCCGAGAGCCACATCTTCTGGTGGTTACTGACCCCAGGGCTGACCACCAGCCCCTAACAGAGGCATCTTATGTCAATCTGCCAATCATTGCTCTGTGCAACACAGATTCTCCTCTCTGCTATGTGGACATTGCCATCCCGTGCAACAATAAGGGAGCTCACTCTGTGGGTCTGATGTGGAGGATGCTGGCCCTGGAAGTGCTGCACATGTGTGGCACCATCTCCTGTGAACACCTGTGGGAAGTCATGCCTGATCTGTACTTCTACCGGGATCCTGAAGAGATTGAAAAAGAAGAGCAGGCTGTTGCTGAAAAGGCTGTGACCAAGGAGGAATTTCAGGGAGAATGGACTGCACCAGCTCCAGAGTTCACTGCTGCTCAGCCTGAGCTCGCAGACTGGTCCGAGGGCATGCAGGTGCCCTCTGTGCCCATTCAGCGGTCCCCTACTGAAGACTGGAGTGCTCAGCTGGCCACAGAAGATCGGTCTGCAGCCCCTACCACGCAGGCCACTGAGTGGGCAGGAAACACCACCGAGTAGTCTTGAGCTGTTCTGCCAACACTTAAGCAAAATGGGAATGAGGCTGATGAAAAATAAAACAATTTCTAAAAAAAAAAAGAACAAATTTGCATGGAAAGAAAAGCAAGTTGTAAGAGACCACCTAAAGTAGGATACCATTTCACAAACTTTCACGATAAGCAAAGTTAAAAGCTACTTCTAGGTACTCACAGACGTGATTCCTACATATCATATTGGGGAAAAATTTTTTTTCTTTTAAATGACAACATAATGAGAAAAGAAAATCAGGATGTAATTACTTCTGGCTGAAAAGAAAGGAGAATGCATCCCAAAGGAACATTTTTAAATAGGCTCTGCTTCATTTAGATTGTAAAAGATTAAAAACCCAACATGCTTTTTCTAAGCCTTATTTGCACCCTGGGACTTCGCAGGGTGAATCCTTTCTGGCTGAGAAGACACCAGCACCAGGGACCTGGCCTCCCTTCCCACTCCCCTGATGAATGTCCATATACACTCTAGGAACTCGTTCTTCTGCAGGCCAGGGCTAAGAAGCAAGCCAAACATCTGGACTATGATTGTCTAGGTAAGGAAGGAGATCAGATCCCTCTCTCCCACCCAAGAGTCTCATGACTCCTACAGCTCTTCAAAGCCGAGCTATCTGGGGTAATCTGGTTACTCAGAAAGTCAAAGCCAGTTGGTATGGATCACTGTAGGGAAAAGGGGGAAGAAAGTCCCCAGTACATTCATAAAGACGCTATTGTGGGGTCAGGGAGATGGCTCAGTAGAAAAAGCATTTGCCTGGCAAGGGCAAGGGCCTGAGTTCAACCCCCAGTTCTGCAACAACAAAAAAAAAATTTAAAAAAAGATGCGATTGTGATTACAGGTAGGGAATGGAGAACATAAGAAAGCTGATCAGGATAAATTTCATGTTTTTGTTCCATTATCAAATCCTTGTTTGGCAGCATAGTCATTTTACACCTCATTGCTGCCCTGTGTTGTTAGCTGGGCCACCCCTAAAACTAGATATCATGACTAATGGTATTTTAGTTCCCTTTTTCCATATTTTGAATGCTTATTTTCTTTGGAAGATATTAGAATCCCATTTCAATGCCAACTATTTAATAGAATTGACACTTGGGGGATGATAGTGGAGACACAAAAATTAATCAGACAAGGTTCCTGCCCTGAAGTCACTTCTCCGGTTTAGCAGAGAATAGTGGAAATACATGCTCGGTGGTGAGGGCCAGGGAATATTCAGAAGAGAAAGTCAGGTCTGTTGATGAGCTTGGGGAGACAGGAAACAGCCATCAAAAGTAAGCAAATTCTGAAGCCAAAAGATCCAAGCCACTAATGTAAAATCTGTCCTTGACATGAGGGATTACTAAACATTTCCTGGGAGTTATTTCTGTCAAATGTTAGCTACATCATTTACTCTTTTGAATCTTAAACCAAGAGAAATTAATTGGGCATAATAAACTTGAATAATCTCCTCTATTGAATGAATGGATCTAACAAGATTAACTGTGTTCATATGTATCGAGCACTGAGCTAAAGACACAAAAACAAACAAGTCATGGTCCCTGCCCTTAGAGAATTTGTACATACCCATTGCTTTAAAAAAAAAAAATACAGTGTATGCTACAGAAAGAAAGTATTTATGGGAACCCCATTGCCCATGACAGCCAAAGGGGAAAGCAAACAATTTAATTTGTAGTTACTTAAAACAATACCTTCTACTTCATGGCTAATGTTCACTCAGCGGAAAGGGAAAAGGTAGACAGACACAGGCACATGCACGCCCACAGTTGCCCACATCCAAATTTTTAAACAGCCTCACAATACCACACAGCATCTACCAATTAATGCTTACGTGTGAAACTGTTTCCAAATGATTGGATGCTAATACACTTCCATCACTATATACTTTTAAATGGCAGGTCCCCTGATATATTTTATTTTGAGCTTTAAGTTACAGAAGCAGCAGGGGGCAACCTAACGTAGAGAACATGCGGTGGCAGTGGCAAGGGCCAAGCAAGGCTGTATCCTAAAGCCACTGGGGAAAAAAATGTTCACTTGGCTGAATACAAAATATGGCATAAAAGGAAATATACATTGGAGAGGAGAAATTTGGGGCAGTGAAATAACAGAAGGCAAAGAGTCCACTCTGGGATCAAATAAGATGAAACAAAATGAAATAAATATAAAATAAAATTTAAAGAACCTCTCACACCAGCTACAAGAAATCTATGAAAGCATAGAGACATACTTGTATTTTTGTTTTAACTCTGCCTGCAGGCACTTCTGAGCCCAAATAACTGTAGATCTGGGAATAACAGGTGTTTATTGATTTCTTTGTGATTTTTCTTTTTTATTTCTTCCCTCTTTTTTTTTCTTCCCCTGTAGTCCTGGAACAGAAAGACATATGTATTCCATATGTAACACTTTAGGAAATGAAAGGCAAGAGAAACACTGACCAGATACAGGGAGTAGGGACCACTTTCCCCGATACAACTTAATGGCAATAGCCCAGCTGCCTTCCTCATTTTATCCCAAGAAGGAAACGTTCCAGAAGTTCCCCATGAAAACATTAACTGACAAGAAGCTTGAATGTTAGAATGGACATCTCGACCAACCCTGAAGAACCAACTTTATAGATTTCTTCCTCGGGTTAATTCCTCAATTTCAAAGACA